CCCCCCAATCTAGTAATCTCCCGAAGGTTCGAGAAAGACGTGGCGTGATACTAGTCACGTGACCTCGCTGACGCAACAATGCATTGTCGAACTGCTCATTAAAACCCGGCAGCTTGAGACCATCGAGCTCCCAGTGGTAGTAAAGCCATATTCTAAAATATATATATTCATTAATATTAAGATAAATGGCTTATAATGCTAAAAACTTGGTTTCAATTCTCGTGCTGGGCACAGTACAGACAGCCCATTGTGTAGCTTTGTGCCTAACAACAAGTAAACAAACAAAACAAAGTTCAAAAACTAAACTATCATATATTGATTGTTTTATGCTTCCATTTGATAATTAATTTATGTCCTAAGAAATTTAGCTCGTGTTTAATTGAAATCATTTTTCATTAAAACAACTTACGTTATGAGATATTTTATAAAACTCGTAGTTTTTATAATTATATATTGATAACTCCGAGAAAATGCTAGTAATAGATGGCACTTAATTCATTCATATTGTTTCGAGTATTTTATACAGAGTTCTATCATACAATTGTAAAACTGCGTCATTTGAAGTTGTGGTTGTGACATACAATCAAAAAAGTGGCGTTTATTTTATGTATAAGTTTTACCAGTTATCTATATTCATTTCTATTAAAATCTAAATTGATGAGAATTCTTTAACAAATTAATTTTAAGGAGAGGCGTGACGTAAGCAAAAGCAAAGTAATAAAAATATAACTTCTAATTCTCAAGGGCAGTACGAAGTGTTAATTGTATAAAATATAATTATATAATAGTAATATACCAATTACTGGCCTATTATTATTTAATTAGTGTTTAAAGTCTAAGTACTTTTATTTTGTAGCATTTTATAGGGCAACGTAACCTTTGTGCTAGTACTAGCAGTCGTAGCCTGCCACTGTCAGTGAAAATTGGTTTATAAATGTTGATTATTTAAACTTTAAAGTTAAACAAGGTGATAAAGATGGAGTATTCGTCAGATGTTATAGAAAGGGTAAGTTACTAAATTTTAACTTAATTCGCGTATTGTCACTTTTAGTGTTTGTTTATCCAATGCCTTGTACTTTTAAAAAATTTTAAATTTACGTTTGCCTTCAACCAAGGTAACTTGTATTACAAGTTGTAAAGAATAAACATATTGGCTAGGAAAATTTAAAATGTTTTTGTGACACAGATGTTCATTTTTCAATTTTAAACTATTGTAAAATGAAAAAAATATGGTTTTAAACGTTTTAGTAAATTATTGCTAAGGGCATTGCCTGTATGATGCTGTTATTGTTAACAAATGAACAAAATCAAAATTTCCATGGATTACATTCATTATGCTTCAGTTAGACTATCTCTTCGTTATGTGTTGAATTTCTTTATACATTTCAGAAAACAAATTTTAAAGATAGTTAAATGTTCATTAACTGTATTAATTTTAACCATGACAAAACATTTATTATATTTTAACAATATTTGTGTATTTTAATAGTTCTAATTTTCAATTTTTAGAATCTTCATCAATTTTATCAAGGAGGACAGAACCAACAGCAGACTAACCATTTCCTCACTCAAGCCCAAATCTCACCCCAGGCCTGGTTCTTTGCTTGGGACCTCCTGGATGCATCCAAGGTATGTTTGTATTAGTACAGACCAACTTACAATAAGAAAAATTTTTTGAAAGCCATGCAATAAACCTTGAATCACTTGCTCATGAAATTTTCATGGACCTTTTGCATTTTCTCCTTGATTATCACTGTACAGAATGTAAGCATTTATCAGGACAACTTCTTGTATCCTTTAGTAGATAGTGTCATACCACTTTGAGACATCATGAGAAAATGCAAAAGTTCAAAGTTTTTGATCAAGCATGTCAGCACTACCCATTTACTGGTTATATATCTCAGCTATTACAGGCTTGTTAACTGACATGTAGCCACCCTCTTCACCTCTAGCATAAATCTGTTTAGCAACTATATTATTAGTGTGTACACTGGGCAACTGGTGAACCCATTTTATATCTTGCCAGGCACAAGCAACAAGGTTTCTTTTTATCATAAACACCGTATCGTCATCTTTTCCCAGATGAAAATGCTTTGGATGAGGCTCTGGTGGCATTTCTTGGTGTCCAGGCTTCACAGTACCACATGCCCCCATGCCAAACCTTTGTAGTTCAGCAAATAACTTTGGTGATGAGTAGAAATTATCAGTATCCATTGTTGATGTGCTGTGTTTATATCCCTTCAGTAATTCTAAGCAAATAGACTCAGTCACAGAAAACATATCTTGAGTGACACGAGTCCTTTTACAACAAAGTTTAAAAAATCTAAACTTCCAATGATAACTACATTTTTAAGTAAGTCATTCCAAATCATTGTAAAATTTACAAAAAGTTCTGCCAAAAAGAAATTTGGACCTGAGTTGTAAAAGCTTTTTCTTATTACTATTAAATAGGCAATACTTCTGTAGGTAAATTTACAATTCTGTACTCAGTTTCCTTTCCATTGTCCTTTACTCAACGAGAATTACCTTGACTTGTTTTGATCAGATTTGGTGCTTTGAACAGTAATATAATTTTTAAAACATATTTATAGCTTACTTATAAAGCCAGATAAATTACAGTAGGTATGGGACATTCTGTTCTAGGGTCTGATTTATCTATTATGTTCTAAAAAGAATATTTGAAAGTGGCAATGATTTTTTTGAACACCAAGTTTATGTGACTTCAAGGTTTAGGGAAGACCATCAGATATTTTTATTCACATGCAAAGAATACTATAAAAATCATTGTTTATATATATATTTTGTATTTATTGTTAATATTCTTATAATGAAAGGATTAAAATGTAAAAGTTGTGAACTTGTCACCTTAGCCTAACAAAACTTAAATCAAATCTGAAACTATACTAGCTTGAGCACTGGTAATTCAGTAATTTATTGGTTTTTTATGCAAGGATTACTGGTCCAGCAGTAAAAAGTATAGCAATAAAAATATAAAATTAATTTAAAAGAAAACATGGGAAAAAGGTTAACAGTTGAAACTGTTAAGATAAATAACTTCAAGTGTTCTGATTAATATTGCAGTCAGTGGTGAGAGAAAAAATAGTATTATTCATTTCATTCCATTTATTAATTTCATTTCACTGTACATTAATTGCTTGTACAGTTAGTGTTGCAGTAGGTAAAATATAATGTTTTACCAAATAAAAAAACTTTTGATATTCATTCAGGAGGTTCAAGAGGTTATGCAAATAAAACATGAAACCTGTAAATTAAGAGTATTTTTATTCTTAGCATAGGAATAACCTTTTATTCTAACTGACTCAGTAAAGGCTTTGGAAATTCAGAGAAAGTTTTAGTAGAAGTACTTTGTTAATAGATCTGTTTTTTTTTCTGTACTACAGATATACAC